CCCCAAAACCCCAAAACCCCAAAACCCCACAGGAAATTCATAGAATTAGTCAGGCTGAGAATAAATTGAAATTTGTGTTTCTACTTGACAAATTATTTTTAAATACGTTAGTAACATTATCGATAATAATTAAAAAAATATTTGCTTAACTATGATCAACACCTTTGATATTGACCTTTAACGAATAGATCCTACCTAATATTAAGATAATCTGATTCTGGAGAGGAATGATAGCTAGCTATTCTAGTGTCCAATTTTAGGTTTTAATGAGACAAGAAATGTCCAATCCTTTACTTTCGATGATATGGTCGTAGACTATATCTAGGAATGTAATAAAGATCTTTCTCAACCTAAATATAAAATTCATAATCCTGTGGCTCAGGACCCTATATCTAAATTAGAATAACAAGAAGAGCAATTGAACTAAGAATTCGACTATTTCTCATTAGATTTGGACCTAATAAAGACAAATGCTGCAAGCCGAATTGAATCTTGTCAATCTCTAGACAACCCAAAGCTATAATTTTAATCGAATCTAGATATCAATCAGTTCTTTAATGATGTTACCACAGAATAAATAGAAAATTAACTATATTTAGAAGATAATAAATCAGAAGAAAACCTAGTTTAAGATTAATAATAGGAATATGAAGTTCGTATGATATCTGAGGAAGAACTTAAGAGGCGTAGAAATCAAAAAGTGAGAAAATCTAAAGAGGTTTATAAAATCTTTAATAGTCATTATAAAAAGGATTAGAATTGGTCTAGGGAACTAATAATTGAGCTTGCACTGCGCTTGAACCTTAGTACTCAGTAGGTATATAAATGGAACTGGGATAAAAAGAAAAGAGACAATAAAAAGAGTAAAAATTAAAAGCTAAAGCAGAGATAAAGTATCTGAAATTGAGAATTAGTATTAAAAATAAACTAGAAATCAACAATCTAAGGAAAAAATACTTAATTTAAAGCCTTTTGAATTAACAGTACATCACATCAGTAAATTAATTTTAATTGAAATAATTATTACCTCTTAAACCATTGCATTTACAACAGAAGGGGTTTTGGGGTTTTGGGGTTTTGGGG